AACCATGTGAGCTGAACCTAATGAGATGAACCTAACGAGTCGAACCGAACTGTTCGTGAACTTATAACGAGTCGAGTTTGAGCTTAAAAAAAAGTTCGTGTCGAACTCGAACTCGAATTCGAACAATTCTTAACGAGTCGAGCCGAGCTGAGGTGAGTTCGACTCGACTCGACTCATTTCCAGCCCTAGGGGTATGGAAAAAATCTGGTATTTCAAATTTTTTTGAAAAATCCAGTAAAAATTTTCACACTGAATTTTTCAAAAGTTTCAGTTAAAATGTATATCGGATTTTTTGTATGGTGTGCCGGATTTTTCTCGACTCAGAGAAAAAAATTTAGTATGTGTTTAATGAAAAAAATTAGAGGAGTATTTTTGGTATTACGAAAATATATAGGGGTGTCATGTATGATTTTAGGGGTGGCAAGTAAAGTTCTCATGGATTGGATGAATTATTTTGTTTATTTTAATCTGGGTATATAGTCTTGCGACCCACTAATTCAAGATGATCAATCTCACCATCCACTAGAGGAGGCTTCATTTAAAGTCATAATAAAATTTTGTATTGACTGATCCAATACAAAGATTATTAGCATCAAAAGAATTCGAACTTAAGACCTTGAAGCACAATTTCAAAACTCAAACTTTCACCACAGGTGAAAGCTTAAGGATTAGAACGAATATTTAGTTGATGGATTGAAAAGATAAGACAATTTCTTAATGCACCCTATGCATTTCTACTGCACCATGTGAAATTCCACATATGCCCCCTAATTCCGGAGATACATCTTCGGACACACCCAAAGTTCACTGAACGTTGAAATATTTCAGAGATAAATCTTCGGAACAATTTGGAGCATAAGTCACGTCAAACTCTTCTCCTGCCTCATTTCATAGTTTTCACACACCCTCAAAACACCAAAAAATCTTCTTAATACACTTAAACTTCACAACATCAAATTTCATCAAACATCATCAATAACATCATTCAACATTATCAAAACCATAAATTTCAGATAAATTTTCGAGTTTTCGGTAAATATTCTAGTTTTAGTATAAATGTATAGAAATTAATTATTAGGGGTAGAAATGTGTAGGAATAGCATGTAACAAAGTTTAGACTTAGTGTATGACATGTTTATTAGCTAAAAATGGCTGTCAGGTGATGTTTTTTCAACTCGCATGAGCCACATTACGCCATTGATGCGACCTCTGAGTTGCAGAACTTTTCAGAGATACATCACAGAAATAGTTCAGTGTTTCATATACTTTGAGAATTTCCAGAGATACATCTCTAGAACTCTTCAAAGTTAACTATTTTAAGATGTTTTTGGAGATGCATTTTCAGAATTGTTCAACATTATTGTTGTATGGTGTTTCCGGAGACGCATCTCCGGAATTTCCTACAGTCTTTTTTTAAAATTTTCTTGTTTGTTTGTTTTTTTTGCATGCACTAATGATATGCCTCACTTTACCTTACAAGCATAATAGCTGACAGAGTCGACAGACTAAGACATGGCAGGGTAGCCCATCATGCATCTATTCGGTGGGAGTGAAGCCAACAGGTTCTAGAGGCAGCAGGTACCTCTGGTCAGAAAGAGACGTTGACTTCTAGGGCACATTATACTTCTAGGGATTGTGCTTCACCTCAGGTCACTTCATCCCATACCACTCCATCTCAAGCCACTATATATCAGGCCACTCCATCTTCTTCTTCCAGTAAGAGACGGGATTCACCAGTTGACGCTTCACTTCCTCCATCCTCCCGCAGACGTCATAATTCACCAGTGTCACCTCTTATTGATCCAGTGCCACCTCCCACTGATAATCTTGTTAATCCAGTGCCACCTCCAGAGGGTGAGACTTCTGTGGATGCTGAGTCAAAGGGTTTTGGAGGAGGTCCATATGATTTATCCTTACTTCCTCTGTATCCAGACCACACGGCCAGATATATCTGAGACGGAGAGGTAGCATTACTTGGATTTTTTATTTATTTTTTACGTTAATTTAAATTGTTGGCATTGATTATTTATGACATTGATTATTTCTGAAATTTTTCAGATGTGTGATCCCCAGAAGTTTCTGAACCATGGGAGGAAGATTATTATCTTAACTCATCTGGATGAGGATTGGTTTCAGTCGGTTCTGACCTTATCTGGGTTGAAGGACCTGTGCATGACTGATTACACTCTGGTCAACCATAGGATGATTAATGCATTCGTGGAGATATGGCATTCTGAGACCTCTTCTTTTCATCTTCCACATGGTGAGATGTCTATCACACTGGACGATGTCTTGTGTTTGTTACATCTTTTGATCAGGGGGAGATTCCTCGATCATGGTAGGATGACCAAAGACGAAGCAGTCGAGATGATTGTAGAGCATCTGGAGTTGATCCAGGTAAGGCAATTGAGGAGGTGGATAGGACTAGGAGTGCTCATGCTAGGTTTGAGTTCTTGAATGAGAGATATGATGATGAGATCCTTGTTGCACAACAGGCTCGTGGTGATGCTGAGCATGTGACCTTACACATGGCTCGTGCTTTGAAGACATATTTTCTTTTTTTGGTTGGCACTTGCATTTTTGTGGACATGAGTACCACTTATACTGAAGTTGTATACCTCCAATATTTCTTGGATCTCACTCAGATCCATGAGCACAACTGGGGGAGGCTTGCCTGGCCTATCTGTATTCGAAGCCGAGAGATGGATGTTAGTGAAAGACGAAGTAGGTCACAGACAACGTGACACTACTGGTGCTAATATTTCTTGACCCTCTAATTTTTTTTATTTTCATTTCATATTTGTGAAACCATTGCTGATAATTCTTGATCCTTGAATTTTTTTTTCATTACAATCTTGGATCCTCCAACACTTCTCGCTCATAGCTGGTTATGCGAGTGTGGATGAGTACACTGAGGACAGCCTCGTGCCTATGTTTTTATCCCGCTGAGAGAGAACCAGGCGGTTGAGCCTTTCAGAGTCTACCTTAACTGTTTGGTTACTGAGGATATGCATTTCAACAGCTACGTGGATCACCGTCAAACGTGGCCATTTGATGAGATTTCGTTATACTCCTGATGGTTGGCTTACGGATCGCGTATCACTGCTTCTCATCTACCCAAGCGCGTCACGCGGTAGTTCAGATACACCCAGACCATCCGCAGACACCCTGTTGTCTCTGTTCCTCATGCCTTCTCTCGTAGACAGATAGACGGGATGTTTGTTGATTATAAGAGCCATCTAGTAACGGACGAGGCACGAGCTACCATAGTGCCTAACGACTGGAGCTACGTCGACGGATACATCAGGTGGTTCTTCAGGGTGTCACATTCATACATGGTGCAGACTGCTCCAGGAGATCCGTCGAGACCAACTCATCAGAAGATACTTGAGAAAGAGCAGGTTTAGCTAGATCATACTGATGATGTCTTGCCTCGGTGTCGTCGCATAGTGGAGATTACACAGACATGCATTGACGAGGATATCTTCCCTGAGGGGTCTACTGTCAGGCGAGTCATGGATGTCATGGTGGCGAAGGCACATGGGGCACTGTTGTACCAAAGACATCGCTGGAGGACGGGGGGATTGATGGCCGAGGAGGTAGAGCAGACAGACGAGGTAGAGGAAATGTTGTCAAACACACCCAGTAGTCGTCTGTTATTATTTTGTTGTATTACTATACTCTCTACTTTACTTTTACGGTTCTATCACATTTTGAATCTATATTGTACGACATTTTCTACATATATTGTTATACTTCATTCAGTATTTGTCTCTTATTATTTTGTACGTCTATTTTTTTATTAGAGACTGTGTTTTATAGTTTATCTGAAAACAAATACACATCTTATAGTAAAAAACAAATTGTTCTGATACACTTCGGAGATGTATCTCCGAAATATTATAGGATATACATCCCCGGAACAATTCAAATGTAAATGTTGTCTTAATAACATGTTTTGAATGTTTAAAATTGTTTCAGAGATGTATTTTCATAATATGTCAATGTTTATTCAAAAATAAGGTGTGTTCGAAGATGTACCTCTGAAATCAAAAAACATATGTAAAAATCCTCATGGTACATAAAAAACATCTAAAATGAAAAAAGAAAATTTCAAAGATAATTACTCTATCGTCGTCCATAATTTAGTAGCATATACCATAAATTACAAGAGTCAAACATAAATCACGTTATTATAACAATTCTTGTAAATTTAAGTCTGCACAAAATCTGGATTGAAAACATCAAGACTCGTTGTTATAACAACTCTTGTAAATTTAAGTCCGCACAAAATCTGGATTGAAACCATCAAGACTCGCAGACTTATCTTCCTTCATGGAAAAAGAGTATCTTTAAATTTCTTCATTAAAAAATGTGCTAGCATCCTATCGTTAACCTCCTCCTCAATAGTTTGTGCTAAAGCACTCAATCATTATATATGGTTGTTGAAGAACATCTTTTCTGTTTATTGCCTTTAAAAAATTAAAGAAAAAGTCGAGTTATATTAAAATAAATCCATTACAATATGTTTTAAGGTTAACATTGTCCCAAAGAAGGATTTATAACTAATCGAAAATCATCTTCTTTTTTTATCAAAATCATTCCATCAAAACTCCATGATTAGACATTTGGCATTAATCATATTATATTATATCCACAATTGCACTACACATGGTAGGACTTGTGCATATAGGAAAAAACACGTTTTCTTCACATAATAATTACAATCTTGAGGTCTGAATTGTATCCAATAATTCTTACTGTATACTTCAAGTCAAAAACTTTAAAAAGTGAATATTTCCACATTTCATAATTCAACTATATACACATTCACATGGAATTGAACCTAATAAAATTAATTACTCATTCATATGACGTTTTTCTTAGCTCAACTACACGTATAAACTATTGGCATAGAACTAACACACTAGCAAGTACTAATCAGTATAAATTAACAAGCTAGAGAAACATTTTATTACAACACAAGAGAAAAAGACATCATGCATTCTATAATATTTTTCTTAGCAACTTTTGTTGTTCTATTACATGTTGCACTCTCCACTTCAATTCCAATTGAAGAAACTTTCAATAACTGTTTATCACTTCATTCAAAAATTCCAAACCAGTTTCCATCTGCAATCTACACCTCTACCAATAATTCCTACACTTCGATCCTTGAATCCACTGCTCAAAATCTAAGGTACCTGTTGCCTTCGGTACCCAAACCAGTTTTCATATTCACTCCATTCCATGACACACAGGTTCAAGCAGCTGTGATATGTGCAAAACAGAATGGTGTTCACATGAGAGTGCGCAGCGGAGGGCACGATTATGAAGGACTTTCTTTTGTTTCTCTTATCGAGAAACCGTTCATGATCTTAGATCTGGTTAAACTGCGCGAAATCAATGTCGATATTCCTCATAACACAGCTTGGATTCAAGCCGGTGCAACTATTGGTGAAGTCTATTACAGAATTTCGGAGAAAAGTGCAGTCCATGGTTTCCCTGCAGGCCTTTGTACATCCTTAGGTATCGGCGGCCACATTACCGGAGGGGCTTACGGTTCTATGATGAGAAAGTACGGCCTCGGTGTTGACAACGTCGTTGACGCTCGAATCGTCGATGTTAATGGAAAAATTCTTGACAGAAAACAAATGGGAGAAGAACTGTTTTGGGCTATAAGTGGAGGTGGAGGAGGAAGCTTCGGAGTTATTCTCTGGTGGAAGATCAAGTTGGTTCCTGTGCCACAAACTGTGACGGTTTTCACCGTAACAAAGAGCCTAGAACAAGGAGGAAACAAACTTCTCCATAGATGGCAACAAGTAGCACCGAATATCGATGAGAATCTCTTCATTAGAGTCATTATTCAGTCGGGAAATAGTACTGTTCCAGGTCAAAGAACAGTAACCACTTCTTACAATGCTCTATTTCTTGGTGAAGCTAATAAGCTTCTCAGAGTTATGAAACACAGTTTTCCAGAACTAGGTTTAACAAGAAAAGATTGTTTGGAAACTAGCTGGATCAAATCGGTTCTTTACATAGCTGGATATCCGAATGGAACACCTCCGGAAATTCTTCTCCAAGGAAAACCAATATCCAAGGATTACTTCAAAGCAAAATCAGATTTTGTCAGACAAGTGATTCCAGAAACTTCTCTCAATTCCCTATGGAAGATTTTTCTTCAAGAGGATGGGCCTTTCATGATTTGGAATCCATATGGAGGAATGATGAGTAGGGTTGCAGAATCTGCAACACCTTTCCCTCACAGAAAAGGGACACTTTACAAAATTCAGTACTTAACAGGATGGATTGATGGAGAAAAGAATATGGCAAAGCATATGAGGTGGATGAGGAAGTTTTACACGTTTATGACACCTTATGCATCAAAATATCCGAGGGAAAACTATGTGAATTATAGAGATTTGGATATAGGGATAAACAAGAAGAATAGTACAAGCTTTTCACTTGCTTCTTCTTGGGGTTATAGGTATTTTAAGGGTAACTTCAACAGGTTAGTAAAGGTGAAAACTGAAGTTGATCCGTCTAATTTCTTTAGGCACGAGCAGAGTATCCCTCCAATGCCAATTGGTAAGTAAGAAGAAGAGAAGATCAAAGGGGTAGTTCTGGCTAGAATTCTAGATCAAACTTTCAATGTTATAAATATGGGTTAAGTTAAATGTGTTTACAACTTGAGTGAAGAATAAAGATTGTATGCATATATTGTTGTTTAATATTGTGCAATGAGAAAAGCATGGGATAGTTCAGATTTATCACAGTGGGATATTTTTGAAAGAAAATAATTGGGTGCATTTGCAATTCAGTTCAGATTTGAGACATCAATTTTGAAAAGAGGCAACTTTCGTGTCATTTTGTGTATATTTCAGTTGTCGGTAAGTTAGACATAATCACAAGATATCAATATAATTTTAACAAAAGCTACCCTATAGAGCTTCAATGATACCACAATGATATCACAATGCTATCGTGAGTTAGCCAAACTCATCACCAATCTAAACATAGACTTCATTTTCCTTTCATACTATCAAACTTCATGCTTAACAATTGGCAGCAGCAGTAGCCTTCTTCCTAATTGCCACCGACTGTGTAGTTATTTCAAACAAATTATTACATAAATTCCATGATAGACAATGATTTCATTTGTAAAATTTTCAATGACATTATTCCTATCATGGAATATATGATTGAATCCCTTGATAGCTTTGAAACAAGCAACAAGGAATGTTGTAGAGTAGGAAGAAGTTGAAAGAGAAAGAATTGTGCAGGCGCAGAAGAGTTTATCTACTAAATAAATTTGATACACGTTATCGATTTTTACATAATGTTCAACACAAGATGGCAATGTTCAACACAAGATGGCACGCTAACCCTCAATAAAAATCAAAGGAGCAAAAAAAATTAGACAATCACATGCGTGGATTCTTGACCTTTTTTGTTTGAACTCTTCAATTTGCTATAATTAACCAGAACAAATGCAACCTCAACTGTTACTTATCTACGTTTGGCATCCGCCTTTGATGGAGGAGGAACTGTTCCAAAAACCTTATCCCATAGTGGTGAAGTGATGCCAAAGCCAAGGCTTTGAACCCGGTAGTGATGATTCAAGTGGTACTTCTGCAAAATGAGGAAAGAATCATGACTTATCTTTTTAAGGCTAGCAAGATTTAGATAGTTTCTAGTGCATCATATAGAAAGTGTAATTTACTAAAAGAGTATGCAATGTCATGTTTGGAAAAAGAAAGACGAATGCACCATCATATTCTGCTTAGGAGCCCATTTATCTTTCACCAAAAGGTCATTCTTATTACACGAGAAGATCCAAATTTCTTTAAAATAGTTTACAGAAGAATGCTATTATGTTTTGTGACCCAAGTTTCAGAGACACGTATATAAATAAAATAGAAAAGAATGTCTAGGTAACTATTATGTATGAATTTTAAAGTCCATCAATTCCTAATCAAATTAAATATTGATATAAGCTAAAAGACCAACTTTTTATCCATTAATATGTCAAGTTGTGTTAAACCATACAACGGTTTTAAATTGACACACGATGATTTTAAGAAATAAAAACATCTGAGTAAGGAATCACAAACTGATTGTTGCCACATTTAAAGAAGGGAAAGTGGTTATACCTTGAGACTTCGGGGTACATCACTCTTCGGTTGGCCATGATGCAAGTAGTAATGTGTGCAATCATACATCACATAGCCCAACAAAATGCCTCCAAACACAGCAGGGGCAGTTAAAGGAGGGAATACAAGCTTCACTAAGGACCAGATCTGGACATTGCAGACAAAAATTCTAACTTCAATGTATGCAACAATTTTTTATAGGCATACTTGGAAATCATTAACCATCAATAAATTCACCAATATCACATTGATGTAATCATTCATTTTGTAAAACGTCAAGTTTTTGCCTATACTAAAAAGAAAGCTACCGCTACAAATTTATTATGGATGGAGGAGAAAGTTAAGCAAGCATATCATTGTTTACGTTTACCAGAGCTCACACCAAAGGATTGTGAGGGGGTATATTATAAAGATGTCCTTAAACAATTTATGGAGGTATAAGGGAAAAGATCCCTTCAAACATAAAACTAATATAAATTCATGTTTAATGAGATACTGTCAACAACTTTTCTATAGGAGATATCCTATTAGTATTTACTATTATGTATTGCACTTTCTTCTCTAACACTAATAATTACACTAGGGTATCCTAACTTATGCATTTGACCTTAACATTACTTTTTTTTCTTGTCTAATAAGAACAGACTTCAATTAATATTACCTACAAGCATGTCAAAAATTACAGTTTATAACACATACTAAGAACTTCACGGTATTTAGCACAGTACATCTGATACTAGCATCATTGAATTGGCAATGCCATCTATAACAAAATCTTAACACCGACTCCAATCGTCCTTCATAAACTAAATAAGGACATTAGAAATCAATCCTTAACACCACACATCTATGAATTTTGTGATGAACTAACTAAGTTAGTGCAAATCACGCACAAAAGACTGTATCCTTTCAACATGCATTAAGACAGCGCAAATAGATTCAAACATATTTCAAATAGCAAATAGACACCGATAAAATAATAAGATTATAAAACAGGGATGTAATTATTTATCCAAATCTGCAGAGGAACTATGTGACAATTATCTTTAGATGTTAAGAAGTAAAAAAAAAAGCACCCATATAAGAAAAAACCATTAGTGTGTAGAAAGGGTTATATACCATGGAGGCTATTATAGCTGCTGCAGCCGGTGGGAAAACAAGTCTTAAGCTATCCATGGGATGCTTATGATGGCATCCATGAAGAAGATAATGCATCGTATTCCCCCAATAACTCTTAGTCTGTACATGGAAAAGAAACCGGTGCAACAAGTATTCGGCCAATGTCCATACAAAAATACCGAGAAGCACAAAAAGGGGTAGGCGAGGAGTATCAAGTCCCAATTTAAAAGAGTTATAAATGAACCAAGATGCAACTGGTAACCAAACAATCGGAATCACCCACCAAGCCGTGCGGGTAAATACCTGTTCCAACAAGCAACCCAAAATTCAAAACAACCTAATCAAAAACCCGTTTATTACATTTCCACACACAAAAACCTCGCTTTCTTTAAACAAAAATAATCCCTTTAGAAATTTTCATCAATTTCTTACAATTTTTTTTAATGACCATCGAAACTATTAAATATCAAAATCACTTTTTTTTATAATCAGTAACAAAATGAATCTAATAAATGAAAGAAAAATGTAGCTAGGGTAAGTACCTCCAAGACACCGCTATGAAAGAAACGAGGACCTTCCTTACCCATAATAGGTTGATGAACCCATTCTTCATACTCATCACCAAGATGCCCAACCTGTTAATCAAACATTAACATAATTAATTAAACTTTAATCACATTAATTAAAAACATAATGCAAGTTTACCTGGCAAACAAGAGGCTTATTCAAATCAACAACAAATTTCTTTGCATCCATCTTGCAACTGAAAGAACGAGAACAAGAACAACAAATAATTAGGTTTAATAAAAACAGAAACAGATCTAGAATATACAATGAGATTGAAAATGAAGATGAATCGAACCGAGGGAATCGAGAAGAGGAAGAGGAAGAGTCTTAACTCTCCCTCTTTCACGTTTGAGTCTTAAATCTCAAATTCTGAAATGGAGAATCTGAGTTTGAGAATGAATAATGTGATAAAAATTATTATTATATATGTTTAATTAATTATTTAAAATTATAATAATCTAAATTAAGGGGAATTTTGTGATTTGTGAAATTGTAATCCACACGTTAAAAAGAGAAGCTGATTATAGAATGGAAAGTTATAAAAAAAGCGTTTTGGCTTTAACTGAGGAAACTGGCCATCCATCCACCTTTCATCACTTGGCGTTAAACTTTTTTATTCTATTTGTAATACAGCTAGTTTCGTGTTGTTTTTTTTTGAATTTTTTTCTAGGCTGGAAAAGTTTTTACTTTTGCTGTTTAGTCCCTTTATGTTTTTATATTGGACTGTTATAGTATACGAGAAAAAGCTCGCGCCAGTTTGAATGATTTGGGGTTTTAAATGAAGGGAATCCAGCTGTTTTGGGTAGAGATTGGAGGGATTGAGTAAGTTCGTTTCGAACGTGATGATGGATGGGAGTAATCATTGTCACGGGTCAATCAGTAGGGTGTGTTGAAAGAGATGTGCCCCAATCAAACATTATTTTTTAATCATAAATTCTCTAATATTTTTTATTCATTTTATTTAGTTTTAAAGTTTTTTAACTTAATTTTATATTTCATTTTAGTTTTTTATTTGAAGTGATTTTGAAGTTTTTTAACTTAAAAAACAATCACTAATTAATTTTTGAGGAAAAATTTTGTTTTAAAATGATTGTCGTTCTCACTTTTAAATGTAGTAATAATTGTTAATTTTTCTAATTGTATCATATAATTATTACTCTTTACATTATTTTCAACAATTTAATATGACTAATTCAGTAAAAGTGCACTATCTTATGACAATATCATTGAATTCATTAATCTGGGTGCATAAACTTTAAACAACAATCATTTTAAAACGAATGGAATATTTCGTTAGTCAAATTAATTTTTTTCGTTAAAGGTTGAGAAAAGGCGTTAAATTTAGATGATATGGCATGACAACATGAAAAAAATTAAAATAATGAGTCGAACTAAATTGAAACTTTATAATTAGTTAAGGGACCAGACCTAGACAATAATTAAATTGTGATTAAAGTCACTAGAATAAAATTTCATAACATTTTATCAGACCATAATCTGTTATTTATCATACCAGAATTTTATACCAATATAATCTTGAATTTAATGACATTAAATTAGAACTTTGTTACACTCTTTGATTCTATATGTTTCAAAGAATAACATTAAAACCATCATAGCAATTCATAAACTTCACACTAATATAAAAGTCTGAAAATTCTAAACAAAACATTGACAGAGATTTAGCAACCAATGTTCATTGCACAAATCACTAGCATTAGGATTAATACAGTGCTCCATTATACATTGACAAAAGGAATTAAATGTTAATAATTCAAAGTTAATAGCACACGTCACTATCATTAATACATTGTATCAAAATAGGAAAGAATCATAACAACACATAATTAGTCCCAAACACAACACTGAAAGAAGAACAATTTTCTTAGGTAGTTATGTAACAAAACAATAGAAGAACAAAATAACTTATGAGATTTGTAATATCAACAAAGATTAATTCTTAGTATCAACAAATACCCATTACATATTAAGATCGTATTTCATTCAATGACTAGCTGCATGTTGAAGATCCAAAGTTAGAATCTTTGAAAAAAAACATTTGAACCCCATAAATAATCAAAGAAACATTGAAAAAACGAAGAAAAAAATACAATTAAATTTTGTATAATGATTGAAGAAAACACAAACCTTTGGGTTGCTGTTAAGGGTCTAAAGAGTTGTTTTGACCAAATAGAACAATCTCGGAAGAAGAAGAAGAAGAAGAAGGAGGACAAAAAGTGATTTTTCTTTGTGCAACAATTGAATTGAAAATATGTGATGAAAAGAAAGTTCTACATCTACCAAACTTAACAATGTCTTTAGCATAAGTTAACGGAAGGGAAGATAAATAGATAAAAAAAAACTTATGGATACGTCTTCGTCTTAGACAGAGTTTTGTTTAAGTAGAGAGAGTGAAAATGAATTGAATCAATTACGGCTTCTTTTTTTTCAATTTTTAATTTTAAATCAATATCTAATAAAAAAATTTCATGTCATCTAACCTAGCACCAGTTGGAGTGCCACACATACATAAGTTGACGAAAGTTGACACAATTTAACAGACAAGATCAATATGATTAATGGAGTGACAATTAAGGAACTTAGAACGAACGTTCATTAAAGAAGAAATTAAAGTGAAACCTAAAATTAAGTTAAAGTACCAAATAATGCATTAAGCCTCCTTTTTAACAAGTTGTTTTTAAAAATTACTACTATCCCACTTTTTCTTAATATATTATCTAATATATCATTTATTTCAACAATATATTCTAAAATAGGGTTAAACATACAACACCCTGACAATATAAGCAAGATTCGCTTTAACCCCTATAAAAAAAATTATTTTCCCTTGTAATACTAAGATTCCATCTAAAAAGCCCTCGTGCACACTAGATTCCATTTATTAGTTAATTGGCAATCTATGTGGACTTTTATTTCATTTTTTATTTATTAATTAAAATCCATGTTTTTTTTTGTTTTTTTATATATTATATTTTTTTAATTTCTTTTTTTTAAATCATTTTAATTAGGTCGAATACAAACACACACAAGCTCATTATCAACCCAACACACTTAACATTTATTCCATAATGTTTGAGCTTTATAAACACCAATGTAATTCTTACATTTTTGATGTGGGACATTCAAATATAATATCAAGCAACACATTGACACAGGCACCTGCTCCTTTGAAAATTCCAACATATGCCTTAGTTGCTAATTGAAGCTTCTGTTTGACTTCAAGAATAGGAGGAACACCATCAATTCTCACATTTGTTGCAGTGCCTACTATAGTTCTCGTAGCTGAATCAATAGTCAAGCAATTCAAGTTCGGCAACTTCTCAAAAGCAATTGTACGCAACTGATCAATTGTGACTTTTCCTACCTTTTGTGCCTCTGGGTCCTTTGAACTTTTTTCCACTCCTACACAACAGTCAGTATAATAAAGAATTTCAAACTTTAAGCATTGTATTCACTTATAAACAGAATATATGTTTGAGGTAAAAACTGAAGGTGTGAAAAGTACACAAGAAGAGGGGGTTGAATTGCATTTCGCGTTTTTTTATTATTTAGCTTCTGATCAGAATTTCAAAATCAGAACTAATGTTCAGATTTTGAGTTAATTCGTTTGGCAGCAGATACAGCAGAAGTAAATACAATAACAGCAGAAAACACAAAATATTTATATTGGTTCCTCCTCTAACTGAGAGTAGTACATTCTCCTTGTCTCACAAGAGCTATTCATTATAACCACTTTATGATTACAATTGCTTGTGTTTTTGCATAAGACTTTTACAACTGCTCCGACCAACTGTCTGAGGCTTCCCTTGCTTAAAGCTTGTGTCTAAGACTTCACTCTGCTCAATCATCTCCTGACCGAGACTTCTCTTGCTCAGACTGTCTGCCTAAGACTTCACCTTGCTTAGAGTTTGTGCCTAAGACTTCACCTTGCTTAATCGGCCTCTAATTAAGACTTTCTATTGCTTAGAGCTTGTATCTAAGACTTTTACCTTGCTTAGAGCTCGTGTCTAAGACTTTAACCTTTCTCAAGTCGCACTCGAGACTTCTTGCTCTCGCCCCTCAGACGAAGACTTTCCCACTTGCTCAATCAGACTAGATGAATAAGAATTTCACAGCTCAAGAACTTAAGCAATGATACTTACGTAACTTAAGCATCTTGGCTCAAGACTTATTGCTTGAATCCCAATGGGACAAGACTTTTCTCTCAAGCACATAGCAGGAGACTTAATCTAAACTACTGAAGGTTTAGTAAAATAGAGAACAAGGTGTACATGATGCAAGCATCAAAGATACAGGAGATTAGCATAACAAATACCTAAAACATTTAAGATTTTTAATGTATACAGGGGTAAGAAATCTTAAGACTTTTACAATTATAACCTAAAACAGAAAATCTGCATATTGTATAGAGTCGATAATTGCTTGATCTTGCTACTGCTTCAACAGAAGAATCCTTATTAAAATTTAAGCTTGAATCTTCAGCCATATATATATTGTGAGATATTGGATCGAACTCTAGTATAGTCGAAGTCTGTTCGCGAGTAATGCGTGTTGTAGTCGAAATTTGTTCTAACATGCATCAGTCAACATTGCTAGGGTTGTTAACATGTTGAATTGGGTCTTGCTTGTAAGCCCAATTGTTTAAGTTAGCTTGCACCCTAAGTTAGCTTGTAATGGGTAATTGTTAAAAAGCCCATTAGGTTAGTGTGTTGTTTTATTATAAATAGGATGCTAGTTTCTCAATCTTGACAATAAGGAAAAATAGGAAGATAAAATCCTAATTTCAAGGGAGAGAGGTTATTTTGTTATTCTTGTATACTTGTAATCTTGTTCTAAGAGAAAGGAAAAAATAGCAGTTTAATAACCAATCCTTGTTGTTTTACCTTGTTTTCTTTATTAACCCTAACCCTTGTGTGTTTCTTGATAAGAAACCGTGTATACTTTGTTTAACGGTATCATATTCACAACAAATTGGTGCGGTGAGCATGGAGAAGATGTCTTCAACAAAGTATGAGATTGAAAAGTTCACCGGAGTGAACGACTTCGGTCTGTGGCGCTTGAAGATGAAAGCCCTGTTAGTTCAGCAGAGTTGTTTGGAAGCGTTGAAGGGTGAGGCAGCCATGGACGCTGCGTTAACGGCAAAAGAAAAGACGGGCATGATCGAGAAA